TGTCAACTTCTGGCAAGGTGTATATTATCCCCCTTCCTTTCCAAGGTTCTTTGCTACCTGCTGCCACCCAGCTAAGTCTTTTTACTACTTCGTGTTTGAATAATATTGATGGTCACCTAATTGATCTGCCTTTTCCTGGTTTGTATTTTCTTTCTCCCTCCCTCCTTTCTCCCCGCCACCACCCCTTCCCTCCCTCCCTCTTTCTTTCTCTCTCTTCCTCCCTCCCTCCCTTCTTCTCTCCCTTTTTCCTTTCTCTCTCTCTCTCTCTCTCTCTCATTCTTTCCCCATTAGTTGAAGAGGGATATGCTAAATACAGAATTATACTGGGCTATAAAAATCTATTTTCCCCATGATTTTGTCATGAATACATAGAACTATTAGTCTACAAAATATGAGACAATACCGATAAATGCGTATATGTTTACGATTTTATTTTCTTGGTATGTGTCTTTTTAAATCATGATGAAACATTTCTCTCAGTTTCTTGTGAATTATTTTTTTGCCTTAAATTTTGTCATCAGATACCAATATATTTTATTGCTCAAATTGTATCTAGTACCTACTCCAGTTCAGGTACTGTGCCTTGTGAAGAAAGCACAATACCGATAAATGCGTATATGTTTATGATTTTATTTTCTTGGTATGTGTCTTTTTAAATCATGATGAAACATTTCTCTCAGTTTCTTGTGAATTATTTTTTTGCCTTAAATTTTGTCATCAGATATCAATATGTTTTATTGCTCAAATTGTATCTAGTACCTACTCCAGTTCAAGTACTGTGCCTTGTGAAGAAAGCACACATGCCTACTAATAAGACTTGTCCCAGGCCCCAGCCTGATAGGGGAACGCATACTGACCAATAATGACAATGTGGTGTGGCAGGTGCCACGTTGTGTGCAGGCTGCTGCGGGGGCAAGTGGCTGTGCACAGCACCACCTCCATCATGTCACTTTTTGCACAAGCACCTCCCTCAAATCCCCACTGTATGGTAGGACAGACACCAGCTTTCCAGGGTAATCTGGCCCCTCACTTACCCTAACGTAAGCCTTTCTTCAGCTTTCTTCTCTGGCTTCGTTTTTCTCACTTCCTCTAAACACTTTTGCATATGTTCAATTCTCCAGTTACATAAGTTCTCCTTCCCCCTCTTCTGTTACCCCCAAATTGTATTTATCCTTCAGGGATTATGTATGAAAAGTGCAAATTTAGATAAAGGATGAAGCCTTCTACAAGTCCACGGAGATATCCTCATCATCTCGTTGCGTAAAACAAGTTTGATGCTTAGCTGTCCATCTCTCCCATGAGTACTTAACTTTCTGCATCTCCGTGTCCAGTGTCCTCAGTGAAAATGCACCAAAGTTAAGATTCATCTATTCTATTCTGTTCCTTCCCTGTCATGTCCCCTACGCAGGAATGTTATATGTAGAAGGTACTCAATTATTGAATGAATAAACAAATGAACAAGGTAGACTTTGGATTCTAGATTAAAACTGGAGTCTGGTGTGGGTGTAATATTAAAGGACCCACAGTATCTAATGAGCAAAGGATAGGTCACCCTAACACCTGGTTGTCTGGCTGTGTATGAGACACAGCGAGCACCCACACACACAGATGTTGTATAACATTTGGCTGTGGGCACATCGCTGTGGAGATGGCTTCCTGTGACCTGCTTCCCGGTGCTGCTGTTCTGCACCTCCAGGCAGCATCTACTAGAACCTCTTGCTTTTGCAGTGAGAGCAGCTCCTTGGGTAGTAGAGTGTCTCCCTGGAGAAGTGTGCCAAGGTCAGTGTGACTTTAGGTGTTTTTTAAAAGATCTTCAGCCAGACATTGAAGAGGAAGTTTCTTTTTAATTCTCTGTTGTCATGGCACCACCCAAAACTCTTTTGATTGCTTGTTTTTACACAGGATTCATAAGCATTGCATTCCTCAGGAATCCAGACATTATATTCTCTGTTTTGGTTAACCCTTGCCTATCAGTCCTAACTAGATTTCGCAGGGTTCGGCTCACAGACTTCTGCTCTTTTCACTCTGCTCAGCGTTTTGCTTTTTCTCATCCACTCATATGCTCTCAGCTGCTACTTATGTGTGGAATGAGGCTCAGAGCTTTATCTTAGCGACGTGGTCACACTCTCAGCCCACCCTTCCTTGCCACCACATCATCTCACACAAGTTCTAAAATAAATAGGCAGACAAGTAATAATTTTGCTTTCATTTCTCTTTGTCTCAACAAGCAGCTTCCACAGTCACCTTCCTTGAAAAAATACTCCTGTTCCTTTATATTTTATGAAGTGAAAGTATAAAAAATAGGCTCCTGTCTGCCCTGTCTCACCTTCGCGACCCAAGTCCAAGTCCCTTGCAGCCTTGTCCACCAATGGCGTTCAGTGTGTAGTCGCTGTTTGGCACTAGCATTCACTCAATGAACTCTTGGGCCTGAAGCCCTGAATGTTTGCTAAAAGAAACGTCCATGACCTCAGGGCACCAAACTTCCCAGCCAACACTTTGTGACAACAGCCCTGTCCATGCACAGCATCCTTTTCCTCACTGCCAGGTGAGGGGAGTAGAATCTACCGAGTCGAAGTCAGGTCATCGCCGAAGGTCCTGTTCTGATCGAAGCTCCCTTTTCCTGACCACTCCCTGTGGGGCAGGTTGTCTGTGCTCCCTTGCCTCCCCACTCTAGACTGTGCTGCATGCTCACTGCTCCCTCCAGAAATAAGAATCACCAAGCAACAGTCTTTTTTTTTTTGCCAGACTGTCTGCTTGCATTTAGTCTGAGAGTCACAAGAAGAGAACAGGTGTTATTAACTTAGGCCCAGGAACCCTCTGAGCGTGAAATTTACAAGACTCTATTATAAAACACAACGAAAGTTTACCAAACTTAGAGAGAAAGAGAGAGGGGGAGGGAGGGAGGCTGAGAGAGAGGGGGAGGAAGGGAGAGGGAGAGGGAGAGGGAGAGGGAGAGGGAGAGAGAGAGAATGTAATCTGTGAATGGGTGATAAGTCCTTCTCTGAGAAGATAGCCTATGGTTTATCCAGCTTCCCAGAAGGGTCCCTGACCCCCTTTCAAAGTTTACAGTCCACTGCGCCAGAGTAATCACTCTAAGCAGAACATTTACACTTTCCACCTGCATAGAAGATCTCTGGAGAATATATTCTTCCTCATGAAAGCAATCTCTGCAGGTATCAGGTAGGGAGGAAAATGATGGAGATGGGGCTAGGTAGAAGTGAAATGACATTTGATCTATCAGTAGGCCTTGTAGGTAAGACTGACTTTTTTTAGGAGTGATGAGCGGGAGAAAGAGCACTATCTGCTTCCTTTAGCCAATGCCATACAAAGGATAACAATAGCAAATACTTATGTATGCACAGCATCGTTCTAAGGTTTTTACATATTTTATTTAATTCTCACAACAGTGCGATGAACTAGGTACTGTGATCTCCATTTTTTCAAATGAGGAAACTCAGTTGTAAAGAGATTAACTCGCCCGAGTTTCCACATCCAGTAAGTAGAGTTGGAATTCAAACCTAGGCTGCCTGGCTGCGAGTTTATGTTCTTAATCAAGTACAAAATCTTTTATCTGGTTATAAGCAGATATTTTCCAAAGTCAATTTACTGGGATATAAAGTTATATTTTCTTTTCTGGCATGGTCACTGAGTTAAGATATTTTAATAGATATTAAGAGATAGGTGATAACTTAATTTGGGTAGCACGTTAATGAAATATTTCATATCAGATTGCACTCTCTATATGCCATCAAAAAGCACACTTCTTACTGCTTTCTTTAGACCCACAAACAGGGACTTCAGCTGTAGAGTTCAGTACCTGACTACTGAAGGATGGCACCCACTTCCTCTTCCTTTCCTCATCCCTGTGATGTTGGGCTTCTCAGTTCTGCTCACTGCCCACTGCTCTTCTCACTTCATCAGCCTTTGGTGTTTTTTTCATCTACGCTTGTGCTTTAGGTGCATGTACCTGGTGATGGCTCAGGGCTCTTCCCAGGGCCTTCCTCAGAGCCCAGGCCCACGTCAGCAGTTGTTCACATTTCCGCCTCACTACGTAGGCTTGGGGGCCATGTCCATCCCTGCTCCCCCAGAGCCTTGCACCAAGCCTGACCCTCAGAGGGCACCGTCTATGATGTTCATCTTTTTTCCCGATTGAGATATAACTGACATATAGCATAGTAGTTTCAGTTGTACAATGTGATGATTCAATACTCGTATATATTGTGAAATGGTCACCATAATAAGTCTAGTTAACATCCATCACCACACGTAGTTAAAAGCATTTTTTCTTGTGATAGAATTTTTAAGATTTACTTTTTGCTAACATGCAATATAGTATTATCAATTATATTATCAATTATATGCTGTACATTAGATCCCCATGACTTATTTTATAACTAGAAGTTTGTACCTTTTGACCCCTTTGATCATCAAGATGATAGTCACCTTGACCTGCTTTGTGTAGGTGCCTTTTATCTGCTTCCCTCCATTCTGCCTTGAACTATAATAAGCACCTCATGAGCAGGCACTGTGCGTATTTAACAGGTTTCATACAGTAAACACTCTGCTGCAGTGCAGGTGGACTTAGAAAGTTGACGAGAACTTTTATTCCTTTGCTTTGGACATAGATGCAAGCCCAGAATCACAGGACGACGGTGTGACCAATGTGCTTCTGGGTTTTACCACTTCCCTGAGTGCATTCCCTGCCACTGCGACAGAGGTGGGACTAAGCCAGCCGTCTGCGATCCTGAGACTGGAGCTTGCCTCTGCAAGGTGAGACAGAATGTGCAGTACCAGGGACTTCAGCCACTGATCAGTGTAGAAGCTCTTCATGTTGAGCCAACGTATAAAACCATGTGGGAAATGAGACTGACCCACAATAGATTTCCACAATGTGTGTCGCATTTTATATTCATTCTTATTTGATAGAAATAGATAGAAGGGAAGACCCCTCTCACCTCTCTCATCCTTTGGGGAGGCCACAGACCTTCTTAAGACTCTGATGACAGGTACAGACCCTCTCCAGAAAAATCAACACAAACTTTTGTCTACAATTTCAAGAGGTTCAAACGTTCCCTAGAAGCCCCTTCCTGGCCTGTTGACCCCAGATTAGTAATTGTTGCTCCAAGTGGTTCGGCCAGGTGGTTGGAGATCTCCCAAGTACTAACAGATGCTTTAAGATGATAGTAACTGGGATGAACTGATCCCACCACATTGTGGATCCTTTTGGTGCCAATTCACTACCTTCAAGATGCCAAGGGGAATCCTATAAAATTTAGGAAATCCTCTCTTCCATTTGTGTGTGACATAAAAGTTTAAACAATGCAGTATAAAAGCTTAACGATTATGTATCTTAACGTTTTGTTAGCATCTGTGTTCTAACATCTTTATCAGTATTTAATTTGTGCAAGTAGTTAATTGCAGTCAGGGAATCATTAGAAGGAATGATCTCTCATTTCACGTTTTTCAATAGGAGAATGTGGAAGGTGCAGAGTGTAATGTGTGTCGAGAAGGCTCATTCTACTTGGACCCAGCAAATCCCAAGGGTTGTACCAGCTGCTTTTGCTCTGGAGTAAACAATAATTGTCACAGTACACATAAAAGAAGAGCTAAGGTATGCAAGGAATGAAAGTTTTTTGTTTTTATTTAGTACTTCTGAATAAGGAATGAATTGGTATGAAACATGAAAGGTTGTGGAATTTTTTGTATATTACTTTGTTAAAAGGTTAAGCACTGACCTCGTCATTTCTCAGCCTGCAGTGTTCTTCTCCCAGTTGTCCTCATGCTCAGTCCCACAGTTGGTCAGGTCTCTGCTTGAGTGTCTCACGCTGTAAGGGGCCTTACTTCACCACTCCCAACAAATAGCTTGCCCTGCTCACTCTCTGTGAGCTCGCCCTTCTTTCAGTGTACTCAATAGCATTTATCACTCCCTGGCATATATACATTTAATTCTAAAACTTGTTTATTATCTGGCTTCCTCTACCACTAGCATGTAAGCTCCTGATACATTCCCAGTGCCTACCACAGCATCTGGAGCATAGTAGATGCTCAATAAATACTCATTAAATAAATGGAGTTTGTGGTTCTTCCCCCCTCGTTTCTTTTTATCTGCTTATCTTCTTCCTGTTTTGCTTTCTTTCTTACCTATTTTACCACATTATTTGGCCACTTTTTAAATTAACTCCATGAAACTAAAACTTTTACTGCCTTCATTATTCCATGAACCAGTAGTCTCATGCTTAGTCTCATGTTTGCTATCTTCATGTGAGTAGTGTCTTATATCCAACAAATATTCCATGAAAGATTATCTTATATATTTTACTATCTGCCTCCTGAAAGGAGTATAGGCTTGTAATTGGAAAAAAAAAGTTAACTTGTAAATCTACTCTGAAGTCTCCTCTCCATATCCCCAGGGCAAACCAGAAGCGTTATTCCTGATCTATGTCTTGTCAGTTCCTTCTTTTTCTTCCCTGCATATTTTAACTCTTGGTTTCCTTTGTGATCAATAAAATATTGAATTACAATGCTCCATTTAGAGTAAAATAATGATAGCAGGCCACTGTAGTCTACCTCACATTTTCTCTATAAGGAGCTGACCACTAAAATGCACCCACACTCCTAGTTATTTTTCATATACTTATTTATATATTATTCAAACATTTATGGGACACTTACTAAATGTCAAGAACCAGGATGTGTGTGGGGATACAAAGATAAATCCCACATACATATGGTCTCTGCCCTCTGAGAATTCCAAGGGCAAGCCAAGAAAAGACACAGAAAGGAAGGCTTTGAAGCAAGGTGGCTGCCCCATAGCTCTTTCTATTCTGCATAACTGAGCCATCACCAAAGAAGCCACAGGCACACATTTCCATCTCTTGCTTTTATATTCCAGTTTGTGGATATGATGGGCTGGCGCCTGGAGACAGCAGACAGAGTGGATATCCCCATCTCATTCAACCCGGGCAGCAGCAGTGTGGTCGCAGACCTCCAGGAACTGCCGTCAACAGTTCAGAGTGCATCCTGGGTTGCACCTCTTTCTTATCTGGGGGACAAGGTAATGAAGTCTTGTTGTTTTTCTGCACTCTCTCTGGGCCTCCTCCCTCACTGCATGAGCATTGTTTAATGGTGTTTGGAAGGAAGCACCAGGAAGTTCAGGTTACTAAAATAGAAGAAATTAGGTTAACTACAAATGCAGAAGAGACGCTGCCTTCTGCTGGGAGGGGCTGAAAATGTACAGACTTCGTGGACCTCACATGCTTTAGCTCAACAGCAAAGGATGTCACGCACCATGTTTTCTAGATTTTTACTTAATGCCAAAAGAAATAACTATTTAAATGATATGTGTTGCAAATGGGACATGTATGCTCTTATATGCCAATGCTGAACATTCTTTGTTTTAAAGCAGAAGAAAGGCTCCTTGTCAGGAAAACAAAAGCTGAAGAGCGATTTGCGAGCTTTTTAAGAGAAGCACGGACTCAGGGCTAGTTCGGCTTTCATTAGCAGAATCATGTGTGGTTAGACACTCCTTCGGGAGCTTGCACATTAGTTGCTCTTCCTTTGCTGCATAAATTGTTATTCCAGAGCCTGTCCAGCTACATTCATTCATGAGGGCAGAAGTGTGGGCCTCCTGTAGAAATGCCATCAGGTGACCTACGCACCTAGTGGCATAGGGTAGAGCTGTTGAGAAGGGGCGGATTTCACAGGGCCAGCTCAGGTAATGCCATTTTCTCACCTTCAGAATGACTAAAAATTAGGGCCTTGTTGGCCTGAGGTCTTTAATGACCTCTGCCCTCTCGTTAAAAGACAATGGGTTTTGACCTTTCAGTGTAGGGAATATTTCTTTTCTCATATAACCCACTTCTCCCTTATATAATATTTTTCTTCACCTCTATGTGGTGAGCCTACACACTGGTTTTATCGATTACTGTGTAACAAATTATCCCCAAACTTTGAAGCTTCAGGCAGCAAACAATTACTGTCTTGTACAGTTCCTGTGGATCAGGAATCCAGGAGCGGATGGCTCAGGGTCTCTCATGAGGTCATGTCAGCCAGGGCTGTCTGTGGTCATCTGGGACTGGAGGATCCACTTCCAAGCTCACTTGCATGGTTGTCAGTAGGTCTCTCTTCCTTGCTGCCTGTTGATTGGAGACCGCAGCTCCTCCTCACATGAAGTTCTCTCTCCATAGGCTACCTGAGGGTCCTCATGACCTGGCAGATGGCGTCCCCTAAAGCAACTGAAAGAGAGATTGAGATAGAGGCAGAGTGAGAGGGAGAGAAAGAGACTGAGAGACTGAGAAACAGAAGCCTCAGTCGTTTTATAACCTAATTTCAGAAATGACATATACTTACTTCTGCCATATTCTGTCCATTAGAAGCCAGTTACTGAATCCAGCTCACACTCAAGGGGAGGAGAATTAAGCTACACCTCATAAAAACAAGAGTAGCAAATATGTGGACATACTTTTAAAACTACCGCAGCCCATCAAAAAGGCAATTCAGCTGACCCTTGAACAACACAGGTTTGAGCTGCAGGGGCCCACTTACATGTGGATTTTTTTCATCTTGTAAACAGATGTCATAAAGTTACAGTATTGATAAATACTGTACTATAAGTATATTTTTTCTTCCTTATGATTTTCTTAAAAACGTTTTTTTCTCTCTTTATTGTAAGAATACAGTATGTAATACATATAACATATGTAATAGCCTGCTGTTGACTGGATTCCAGTTACAGTTTTGGGGAGACAAATGTTATACATGGATTTTCAACTGTGTTCTGGGGTTGGGGGTCGGCCCCACTAACCCCTGTGTCATTCAAGGGTCGACTGTACTCGATAAGATGATGTAAGATGTTGTCTTGGAATACTTCCAGATTTTCAGATCATAGGTCTGTGAAACTTTGTCAGGTTATAGATTCTAGGGCAGAACTTCGGTCAATGTGGAAGCCAGAAATGCTTCGCCTTCTCCCCTGCTGCAAGTTATTTGCATTCTGCAATAGGGTTATTTTGTCCTTGCTTGCTCTGAGGTTACATTGCTTCTGATTTCCTTCCTTAGTTACTGCTTCTTTCTTGGTTGGCTTTTACTTTAAGGGTAGGAGGTGTCAGGACCAGAGGTGAAGCTGCTGTCAAAAACTATTACCATTCACCTCCACATCTCTACCATCATTATGCTACTTATGAGGCCCTGAGAGAAGGTCTGTACACCTAATGGAGTAGTCAGACATGTACTCAGGAGAATGCATAATCTCTTTGGAAATATTCACCATCTGCTCTCAGGGGAAGTTTTTTTTGAAAATTTATTTTTAGAGGTTCATTTTGTAACAGACAGATATTAACCAATTCTCTCAGTTAAATAAGAAACCAATGGCCTAGATTTCTTAGAATATCTGTGGACTAAATAAGCATTTTGGTTTAGTAGTCATCTGGAATTAAAGGATCTTATTTGTTTCTGTGTGACTGTTATTTTTTCTTTTTAATAGACGTATCTTTTGTTTATAAAACTCAAGTATGTTCTTGTTAAACATTTGATATAAAATGGTGTAATGTAGAATGTTGTAATGTCATCTTCAATTCTACTGTCTAAGGATGACCCCTGTTAATAGGTCGATTGTGTACCTTTCCAGATCTATATGCCTATGTACTTTTTATATGAGTTAATGGTGCCATGGTCTTTTTTAATATTTGTACTATTGGTCCGATTATTTCAATTTTAGGTTTCCTCATATGGTGGCTACCTCACCTACCAAATCAAGTCCTTTGGCCTACCTGGTGACATGATTCTGCTGGAAAAGAAGCCAGATGTGCAGCTCACTGTAAGTATTAGAACATGACCCAAATAGCAAGAAGTGATGGTTACAGATGGTGCTGATCCAATTTTAGGACATGTTGAAAAGAGGCTAACAAAAATGTTTGGATTAAGCAATTTCCCATATTTTATAGAAACTGAAAGAGAAGTTTAGAGTATGTAACACCTCCTGAGAATCCTCTGCCCCCGATGGTATCCCTTTCCAGTATACTTAACTGTATTTCACCCTTTCTTCTTTCTCATGAGTTCACCTTAAACTTTTTTTTTTAATGTTTCTATCTTTGCATTTAGTTTCACAAGTGTTTTTGAGCCCTTCCTGTTTACAAGATCATTTTGCTGGGCTTATAAAGGACGGGCAATCCTTGTCCTCAAAAAGAGTGTAGTCTAAGAGGGGAGATAAAAGAAATATGCAAATAACTATAATCCACTGAAGAGTAAGAATTTGGACCACAGTACACTGTGTGGGAGCTAGGGTCCAAGGGAGGACTTACATATTTGATAGGCCCTCAGAAGGCATCATGGAAAAGGCTAGTTTTGAGCTATTCCAGTAGCAGAGAATGAGATGAACTGAGGCAGAGGGGCAGTGCTTAAGGGGTGACCAGTCCAACTTGCCTAGATTGTCATTGTGTGCCAAGTCATCGAAAACAAGCCTGGAAAGGTAGGAAGAAGGTTGTTTTATGCTATATAGGCAATTTGGCTTGATGTAGAAAGTGAGGAGCAACTTTGGTTTTTTGAGAAGAAGAGTGACATCACACACTATGTGCCAGCCACGCAATCCAAAACTGCAATCTAGAACATCCCTTGAGATCAGCAATGTAACATCCTGCATCGAGTCCCCTACAATGTATGGCACAGAACTTTGAACACACATTGGAGTGCCATGGCTTGAAGTTGACTCTGCTTCTGGTTTGTGTTCTATGATTAATGCAACGCAATGACAACTTCTTGAAGGGTTTTCTTGTGTCATTCACTGTAAAATAGGGACCAGCAAGTCTCACACATCTCAGTACAGTTGTGGGCCTTGCATTCTGGCAGATTTTTTTATGTTCAAGCATTGCCATGTTGTTTTGTTTTTACTGCCACCCAAATTTATTGAATTATTATTTTAAAAACCCAAAGGAGCCTTTGCAAAACACCTTGAAAATGAAGCACCAAAGATTTTAGAGTTATAGTCTAATGAAAAATAGCTCCTCAATAAAAATACTGTCATGGCAGTGCTTTATTTCAGTTTCATTATTTTCGCATTTATCTCAAGTTCAGGCCATTAGTATACCTATATTTTACAAAGAGTTTATTATGCAAACTGTTGGAATTCATGGAGAGGTGATGATAAAAATTTCTCTTTAATCCCACCTTTGAACATGGAAAAAAATTTAGGCTCATGAAACATTTATTCTGCTGCTTTGTTCCAAACCACTGTAATTAAGAGCCTATGGGGCATGTTTCTTAGGTTAAGGTTTTAAATGATTTGTGATCGCAGATAATGCTCGTCTTTCTGAAACTCCAGCTCTAATGAATGGAACCCTTTGGGGTTTGGTGCTACGACAGAAAAGCTGGGGCTTTTATGTATGTGTTTGCAGTGGAGGTACTGATGATAGGTGCTGACGTTCTCATTGTACCCAGTTAGGAGTCCCTCAAAAGCCACTATAAACGGGAAGGCGGGGTGGAGGCTGAGAGTGAATGAGGTTGGATCCCAAGGGTAAGGGCTGTGGGCCTAGTTCCCTCTTCGTGTGCCAGCTCCGAAGCTCCCTGGCTCTGCAGGCTGCACTGCTAGGCCCTGCTAACCTTTCTGCCTAACCCACCCACTAAAGCAATTTCTTGCTACCACAATCAGGCCCTGTAGGCAGTAATGGAACAGCATCTCATGCATTGACGGCAAAGCATGAGAAGCTTTGTTTTTTGTTGTTTTAATTTTTCCGTCTTTTTAGCCATTTCTGGTCAAGGGAATTTTGGGGTTTTCTATTTGTGAAAATACACTGTATTGACTATTTTTATTCTGCTTCCAGGTGACTAATCCTTTTACCAGTAATTTCATTTCAGAACTATTTTTTAGAATCAGGCACTGCATGTAATGCAGAGTCACCGAAATTTGTTCTTAGATCAGTCATACGCTTTAATACATCCCAGCCAGAGCACTCGTGCATTTGTGTTTTCATTAAACAGGGTCAGCACATGTCCATCATCTATGAGGAGCTGAATAACCCACGGCCAGACCGGCTGTATCACGGGCGAGTGCAGGTGGTGGAGGTAAAGGAAGAACATATATAAAATGTTTTCTAAAGATCTTCTTGTTCCTTGACTTTGTTCTTTTAAGCAGTTGTGATTTTTTACTTACTTTATGAATTTAAAATATTATATTTACATAAATATAATTTATATGTATAAAAACTTTAAATGTACATTATATAAAATATACAGAGTTTCATCCTCACATGGCTTTGTTTCTACCATCTTTATGACACTGAGCCCTGTCTTTCCTGCTTTACAGTTAATTATTCTTGTGTGTATGAGCTTGTCAGTGCTTTATTTAGCTCCCTCTCATCATTAGGCCTCCCTCAGTGCCTGTGACCCCATGAGTAGCCAACAAACCCTTGGGATGAATAGATGGAAAAGCCACAAAAATATCTAACACCAAAAGAAATAAGATTAATAGAGACATATAAAGGAAAGCTCACTAAATCATAAAACATTGTGTTCCATCGACTTGATTATAACTATGCCTTTAAAATAGTGTTCTGTTTGTATTATTAAATATATCCAATACCTCAAGATGATACTTATTCAAGTACCTTGAACTCCCAGACATATTTTCACATTCTATACAATGAAATACTATGTGGCAATAAATGAAACAAAGTATTCATACCTACCACAATAGGGTAGAACCTCAAAAACATTATACTGAGTGAAAGAAGCAAGACACCAAATATATATTATATGATTCTATTTATATGAGAGAGGTGATGCCAACAAAATGGTGCACTAAGAACCTCCAAAACTTCTCTCCTCCATAAAAGCAATGGGAAAACAGGCCTACTTGGTTAGAATCAACTATTTCAGAACTCTGGAAATTAATCAAATTTTTGCAACAATCTGCAAAGCATTTATTCAAGAGAAATGGATGAATCTTGGAAAGAATAATAAGTTTTGTGGCTGGTATTCTCTATTCCCACCTCATCCCTCCAGCTCCACAGTAGCCTTGAAAATCAATAGCCCACCTTCAAGATGAAAGCCAGTAGCCTAGAAGCCATCAGAGGAGACAAAATGGGACTGGAGCCCTTACAAAGCGTCATTCCCAGAGAATTGTCAAAATCTGTCTGGGGTTTTCTAGATGATCCCATTTCCAAGGCCGTGTTTATTGAAAAGCTCCAACACAATATTGGGAATATAGAAGGACTCAAATATTCAAGTCTGTATGCATGCTCAGGAAAGACCTGAGAAGGAAGGCCCTAAGCCCTCACCTCTGGGTGACTTTGAAACTCTGTGAAAACAGGAAATGAAGGCTAAAGCAGAGTTGTCAGCTTCCTGGATGAGTGTTGGAGGCGTCCTCCAACATGCACACAGAGCCATTTTGTAAAAGCTAGGAGACTTTTGGGTTCCAGGTATTTAAAGAAAATTCTGTCCAGTCATTAGCTGACCACTAAGCTAACCAAGCAGGGCCTTTAGACCACACAAGACAATGATTTCAGGCTTTACAGAATTCAGAAAAGTCACCAAGCAAACACACAAACAACAACACAAACAGCAATAGCAACAAATCTGGAGAGGGGTGAGAATATGGTTTCCTGAGTTGCCACAGTGTATTATTTTAAATGTCCAGTTTTCAACAACAAGAAAAAGTTATAAAACATGCGAAGAAATAAAGTATGGTTCATTCACAGGGGAAAAAACTGACAAATAAAACCTGTCCCTGAGGACATTGAATTTACTATAAAAGTTTTTAAATCAACATTTTAAATATGTCAAAGAACTAAAGAACACCATGTCTAAAGAACTAAAGGAAAATGTGAAAACAATGTCTCACCAAATAGAGATTATCAATAAAGAAATATAAAATTTAAAGAAGAACCAAATAGAAATTCTGGAATTGAAAAGTACAATAACTGAAATGAAGAATTCCCTAGAAAGGATGCTATGGACTGAATTATGTCCTCCATATTCATATGTTGAAGCCATGACTCCCACTGTGGCTATATTTGGAGTAAGGAAGTATTAAGCTTAAATGACATGTGGAGCCCTGATCCGACAGGATTATGTATGCCGTATAGTACGTCCTTATAAGAGGAGATATCAGGAAGGAAGCTCACTCTTTCTTTCTGCCATATAAGGACACAGCAAGAAGGTGACCACCTGCAAACCAGGAACAGAGTTCTTACCAGAAACTGAATTGGCTGGTACCTTAACCTACAATTTCTAGCCTCCAGAACTGTGAGAAAATTAATTTCTGTTGTTTAAGCTACCTAGTCTATGATCATTTGTTATGGCAGCCAGAGCTGACTAAGACAAGGAATCACCAACAGATTGAGCAGGCAGAAGGCAGAATGAGCAAACTTTAAGAAGGTCAATTAAGATTATCGGGGAACAGGAAGAAAAAAAGAATGAAATAAAACAAACAGACTCTCAAAGATATTCAGAACATAATCAAATGTACCAACGTGTGCATAATAGGAGTGCCAGAAGGAGATGAGAGAAAAGGAAGAAATAATGGCAGAAAACTTCCCAGATTTGGTGAAAATAATTAATCTATACATTCATGCTCAACAAACTCCAAGTAGGATAAATGCAAGAAATTCATACACAGAAACATCATAGTAAGGATATCGAAAGACAAAGACAAAAAGAATATTGAAAGCAGCTTGAGAGAAGCACTTTATCATGTACAAGGGGGTCTTCAATAAGATTAACAGCTGATTGTTCACCAGAACCCATGGAAGTCAAGAAGGCAGTGGTATGACATTTTCAAAATGCAAAAAGAAACACACTATCAACAAAGAATTGTATATCAGGCTAAATGTCCTTCAAAAATGAAGGAGAAATGAAGGTATTCTATTGTAAACAAAACTGAAAGAATTCATCACTAGCCAACTCTCTTTACAAGAAATACTAAAAAGGAATCCTATAGACTGAAATGAAAGGACACTAGACAGTAACTTAAATCCACATAAGAAGCAGAGCACTGGCAAAGGTAAAACTATATAGGTAAATAGAAAAGACATTAGAACTATATCTTTTGATCATGACTCTTTTTTCTTCTGTCTGATTTAAAAGACAACTGCGTAAGGCAATAGTTATGAATCTGTGTTGGTGGACATACATGCATAAAGATGTAATTTGTATAGAATAGCACAAAGGAGCAGGGGAGGAAAGGAAGCAAATGGAAACCAAATTTCTGTATACTGTTGAGATTAAGTTGGCATTTATATAAATTGTCTAGCATGGACAAGTTCATAGAGACAGAATGTAGCTTAGTGGTTGCCTGGGGCTGGGGGTGGGAATGGGTGATAACTACAAATGGCCACGGGTATTCTTTTGTGAGGGATGAAAATGTTGTAAAATTACATTGTGATAATGGTTGCATGCTTCTGTAAATTTACTAAAAGTCGTACATTTAAAACGAGGGAATATTGTCATATGTAAATTATACCTTGAGCTGTTAAAATGTAAGTATTATATTTATATTTTAATAATAATCATTTTTTGAATGTCTAATACATGCTAGGCACTGTGCTGGATACTTTGTATACATTATAGCATTAATTTTCTTTAATCCTCATGATAGTCCTGAGAGGTTAGGCACCATTACTATAGTATTAAAGAGATGCGAAAACACTTCAAAGGAGGCAACAGAATCTGAAGGTTAAAAGTGCAGGCTTTTATGGGAAAAGATGCTTAACATCACTAAAGCATTAGAGAAATGCAAATCAAAGCCATGAGATACCACCTCACATTCATTAGGATCCTACTAAAAAAACAAACAAACAAAAAACAGAAAATAACAAGGGTTAGCAAGGATGTGGACAAATTGGAACATGTGTACACTGTTGGTGGGACTATAAAACAGTGCAGTTGCTGTGGAAAACAATTTTGAGGTTCTTCAAAAAATAAGAAAATAGACTTACCATATGATCCAGCAATCCCATTTCTGGGCATATATTCAAAAGAATTGAAAACAGGATTTTGAAGAGATATTTGTACACTCACATTCATTACAGCACTATTCATAATAGCCAAGAGGTAAAAGCAGCTGAAATGTCCATCGACAAATGAACAGATAAAGAAAATGAGGCATGTACATACATTGGACCATTATTCTTCCTTAGAAAGGAAGGAAATCTGTCACATGCTAGAACATGAATGAAACTTGAGGACATTAGCTAAGTGAAATCAGCCAGTCACGAAAACACAAATACTGCATGATTCCACTTCTAAGAGTTATTTAAAGCACTCAAATTCATAGAAACAGAAAATACAATAGTGGTTGCCAAGGGCTGGGGACTGGGGGAGGGGGAAGAAATGGGAATTGTTGCTTAATAGGTGTAGAGTTTCAGTTTTGCAAGATGATAAAGTTCTAGGGATCTGTTGTACAACAATGTGCATGTAGTTAACAGTATTGTAGTGTAAAATGAAAAATGGCTAAGGCGGTAATTTTTATGTTATGTATTTTTTACCATCATAAAAAAATAAAATAATATGAATGTGTGCGTGTGCAAGAAAAGATTGTACTTTCTGTCACGACTGTGTAAATTTAATGAATGATCTGAGTTGCATGACTCAGTTGGTTTCCATATACCTTTCTCTCTTGCATTTTTCTCACTGACTTTATATTTGTACAAACAAAAGTGCATTTTAAAATAAGCATACCATTGGGAGATTTTATTTTATTCCTTACTTCCTGCCTTCATTTTTTTCCCTTTCATGTGTTACTCTCTCTTCTTGGGAATAACCTAGGACATCTGACTTCTGGATGTAAATCCACTATCTTAAATGTACCTATCTTATTCTATTTTCATTTATATGCATTTTAAATGTCTTTTCTTTGACTTTTTCTGGGTGTCTGTCTCTTCCTGGAAGTG